CGCCGCCGCCACCGCCGCCGCCACCGCCACCGCCACCGCCACCGCCACCAACTGCCGCCGCCGCCATCGCCCGCCACCGCCCGTCACAGTCAACCACCACTGCCTTCGCCTCTGCCACCGCCATCACCAGCAGCATATCGCGACGTCTCTTAGTTCCTTGCTCACCGGGTTGGTGGCGCCGGCGCGGCACGCGTCGCAGAACCACGGCTCCGTGGAGCTGGACGAAGCCGTGCTGGCCTCCGAGTCCGCGTCCGAGATGCCGTAGCATCCCTCGTGCACGGACACGCCGCAGCGGTCACACTCGACGATCTCGTCCGACGGCTCGCTGCCGACGACGAAAAACAAGTGAACAACGAGCGGGCGGGAACGCTGCTGCGATGAGGAAGCGACGAGAACGAGGAGAGGACGCACGGATGAGGAGCGGAAGGCGAATGGACTGTCCTCGTAATTTACGCTGATGGGGTGAATTTGCGATCAGACGAATGCTAAGCTTATATTTTCCGTCATTTTTAAGTGATCGATTTTTCAGATTATTTCTCTTCAATTGAAGCAACCAACATTTGTGTGAATCCATGAACGTGCTTATCTGCCATCAGTTTCAACTTTATAATTATAAGCTGTTATAAATGACAAATGCTATGTAAATTACGCAATGATGCGGTCAATCGCGCAACCTTTCATGAAATCATGTCCATTCGTTAGAAAGTGCAGAGTAGCACGATCAACCAAATCAGGGTGAGGAAATGAGAAGATCTAACTCGTAACAATATTCACACATGCCTGTTTTTAGCAGTGCAGTAAACGTACCTAATGTCACCTAAACATACAGCGCAGATCCTCACATCCAGGTGCGTTCCTCCCCTCGCTTCTCCGCTCGCAATCTGTAAATGTTTTGATAATATTTTTGTGACAATGTATACAAGTACTGGCGTCCCTGCAGAGATTTCTGCCATCAGTGCACATTTATACATCCACGTGTGCTCAAACAGGCTCACGCACACATGCACACACACACACACACACACACACACACGCACGCACACACACGCACGCAGACGCACGCACACACACACACACACGCACGCACACACACGCACGCAGACGCACGCATGCACGTGAACACGAACATGCACACACGCACGCACGCATGCACACTGGACACACACACGCACGCACGCACACACACACATACACGTGCATACGTTGCTGCCTCTCCTTACCCTGACACGAGCATGCTGCTGCCTCTCCTTGGCCTTTTCTAGCAGCTCTGATATTGATATGTCCTTCATGGTAGACGATCCACTCGTGATGTCATCATCTTCCTCTTCAGCGACCTTACCTCTGAAATCCAAACAGCAGTAGTGATACGTTAGGCAGGGATAGTTAGAATAAAGTCTTAGTTTGCTTCTGAAATGATTCAAACTCACTAATGGATCTGTGAATTACGAATTCTCTTGAATTACTATACAGACATTTTCATGCACCTGAGTCCACAACCACAATAATGAACAACAAGAAAAAATGTATGAGCTACTGCTTACGATTATAATATTAGCCATAACGCCAATCTACATCAACTTCAACTTCCATGGCAACAATATTGTTACAGAATGGATTTCAAGTGGAAGGTGACCTGTGACTATATGAATACATAAAATTCATACTCCTCTGACTCTTCGTCCTCCACTTCTTTGGATTCACGATCACTGTCATCTTTATCATCCTCATCATCTGAACTTTCTGTCATGGGAAAAGAATAACATACAATATATTAATTATATATGTATTTATAGACAGTAGCAAGTTTCAAGCAAACTAGTAATAATAATCGCTGACTTCCCGATTAAAAAATTAAGGATGGTTAACCTTCCTCATCCTGCCCTGGTCATCTGTTTAACCATTTACTCACCTTTCAGATTGCAGTCGAAATCACTGTCTTCTTCGCTGTCATCTAAGCCACCAAAATTCACCTGCAGTAGATGACTCTCAACAGGCTTGACTTTACGTTTTTTCGGGTCTCTATTGTCTGAAACATGAACAGTAAAACTCGTCAGCATGGTGCATTGAAACTAGCAGGTTGGGTGCTGCACTTAACGGTACTTAACTTACGCTCATAGGGTCTATGTCACCCAGGGTACTGCCAGAACGTAACCTGGGTACGGTCCGGTATACCGGAACGTACCCTGGTAACTATCTGATATGGTTAGGGTTAGGGTTAGGGAGTAGGCGTAGGCGATTCCCTAGACCCGTTAGTGGAGTAGGCGAGGTACTAGGGGTGAGTATTGCGACCAAAAACCGTATTGCAATATATTGCAATACGACAAAACCGTATTGCAATATTTTCCAATACGTATTGGGAAGTGTATA